CACCATAAATACCCTTTCTCATGATTGGCTTCACCTGTGTATGTAGGTCAAGGGTCAATGAGCTTAGCAAACCAATTTTGTGTTCCAATAATTAATGCTAAAGGTATTCAAATCAATAAAACAACAAGGGTGTCCAAATTTATGCACCTGCCTACTTTTGTTTGAGTAATTATTGCACACTTTCTGTACTCCTATAAACTTCATTTCACTTCTTAAATATCACTGTGTTTGTTTGCTATATGATATATTTAATTGAAATTGCTGTTCCAAACAACCAATGATCCATAAAGGAAAATCTTGAAAATGATCTGGGTGCCCAAACTTTTTCATACCACTGTATTTTCCTTTTATTAAAGACAAATGAAATATGAAAATCTATAAATAAAACTATAGATGAAATATCAAAAAAGAAATTTAAAAGTAAAGACAGCATATTTCACCAAAACATTCCTGAACTCTTCCAGAAAGGCAACTTCAGTCTTCACTCTGCACCAACCACAAAATAGCTTTGTCTGTTAAAACTGTCTTTAGCCGTAGCATGATGAGTCTGGGAAAACTCAAAATTGAAGTGTTTTATGCTAGGAAAATTGAATATTTTGCATTCATGAATGGACGATCCCTGCTTTTATATTTTGCCCATAATGTGTTTGCATGCATGTATTACATGGATCCCTTGAGTGTTTAAATGAGAGGTGTTTATTGTTTAGTATTGTTACTTCTTCAGGGTGTGTGTTTACACGGCTGGGTCTCCCATCAACAACCGTGCGCTCTTTCCTGGCCAGGAGCCGCCTGTTGCCATGTCAACATGGCAGGCTACAGTACGGGCCCCCAGTGACTGTTTGGTTTTGATGAGTGGAGAGGAGGAAGCTGTACCTGTGGAGGATAAAGACAGATGTAAGCCATTATTTTTTAATGTAAAAGTCAAATTCTATTGTAGTCCAGCAGCACATTATGAGTTACAGGTCTGTGAACTGAAAAGTCTTAATAGCTTAAGGTAGTGAAACTTGCTGCACAATTATTTCTATATAGTGTTCATTTTTTGAAAAAAATAAGGGCTGTCAAATGAAAAAAAACCTGATTAAATCGGATTAATGACATTGTGATTGTGGATTATTAATAAATAGTCATGATTAATTGACATTAATCACAATTAACAACATTTAAATATAATAAATGGAAAAATCTGTTTTTCTGTGTTGTTGAAACAGAAAGTGAAATATGAGCGGGTAGATGTCTCTGTATTGCACCTGTTTTTATATATGTCTAATCCAAATGATGGGATTATTAAAATGTAAAAAAAACAAAATCAAAGACTAGCAAAACAACATGAATTTTGGCATATATAGTGCGTTCATTCGTCCCATGCGTAAAAATGCAGTACATTTTTTATCTGATTAATTTTTACAAAATAACTATCGCAGTAATGTGACATCCTCAGAAAATGTAAATAATAAGAGAGTATTTCTTTAGTAGTGTAGAAACATTTTACCTAATCAGAAGTCTGTTTTTAAGCCCATAGACAGCAGTATATGTTTTTATGTTTTTTATGCAGCAATATGTTTTTTGAGCAGATATAGCAGAGTTTTTTTTGGTCTCCGTCCTCACAGTGCCTTCCTGTGCACAGCTGGAGTGACTGACTTTTCTTGACATTTCAATTCGGCACCGGGGTTATTCATTAAATAGCGTCTTTACAGTTATTGTAGGCTGAAGGCTAAATTATAATGACAACAAAAACTACACAAATGACCCTGATCAAAAGTTTACATACCCCAGTTTTTAATACCGTGTAGTGCCCTATTTAACATCACTGATAGCTTGGGGTCTTTCATGGTTATTCTGGATGAGGTCCTTTATTTTCTCTGATGGTAAAACTGCCCATTCTTTTTGGCAAAAGGCCTCCAGTTCCTGTAAATTCTTGGGCTGTCTTTTATGAATTGCCCGCTTGAGATCTCCCCAGAGTGGCTAAATAATATTGAGGTCAGGAGACTGAGATGTCCACTCCAGAACCATCATTTATTCTGCTGTAGCCAGTGACAGGTCGATTTAGCTTTGTGTTTTAGATCATTATCATGTTGGAATATCCAAGTACGTCCCATGCACAGCTTCCTGGCTGATGAGTGCAAATTTTCCTCTAGTCATTTTTGATAACACACTGTATTCATCTTGCCATCAATTTTGACCAAGTTGCCCGTGTCTTTGTAGCTCACATCCCCAAAACATCAGCAATCCACCTCCACGTTTCACAGTAGGAATGGTGTACCTTTTATCATAGGCCTTGTTGACTCCTCTCCAAATGTAACGTTTATGGTTGTGGCCAAAAGTTCAATTTTGGTCTCATCACTCTAAATTATTTTGTTCCTGAAGTTTTGAGACTTGTCTCTGTGCTGTTTGGCATATTGAAAGTGTGATTTTTTTGTGGCATTGGTGTAGTAATGGCTTTCTTCTGGCAACTCGGCCATGCAGGCCCATTTTTCTTCACATGCCTTTTTATTGTGCATCTTGAAACATCCACACCACTTTTTTTCTTGTATTTCAGCTGAAGTCATCTGTGAGTTTTTCTTTGCATCTCGAACACTTTTCCTGGCTGTTGTGGCAGAAAGTTTTACTTTTGGTCGATCTGATCGTGGTTTGGTTTCAACAGAATCTCTCATTTTCCACTTCTTAATTAGAGTTTGAACACTGCTGATTGGCATTCTCAGTTCCTTTGATATCTTCATATATCTCTTTCCTGTTTTACACAGTTCAGTTACCTTTACCCACAGATCTTTTGACAATTCTTTGCTTTATCCATGACTCAGAATCCAGAGATATCAGTGCAAGGGTCTGTCAGCAGCCCAGAAACTCACTGAACCTTTATACACACACTGATTACAAGCAGACAGATCACAGGTGTGGATGGTTACCTTTAGTAGCCATTTAAGCCCATTTGTGTCAACTTGTGTGCATGTCATCTGGCCAAAATGTCAAGGGTAAATGTTTGATCAGGGTCATTTGTGTAGTTGTATGTTGTTATTATGATTTCAAAAGAGTAAACCCAGCTGTTTGATAATAAATGGCTTCAACCAAGTACTAACAGTGAGTGAAAGAAGAGTTTTTGTGTTTTCCATATTCTCTAAAAAATGACCAAAAAAATCATAAATTCTGCCAGGGTATGTAAACTTATGAGCACAACTGTGTATATTATATATATGATATACACAGTTCAGTGTATACATATATATATATATATATACACACACACACACACATATATATACATATATACATATATATATTAATAGGGAATTCATTCTTCTATATATATATATATATAAAGGCCTAAATATATATATACAAAAAAGTCTGAATACATATACAGACAGTTTGAATATATATGTATATACAGAAAGTCTGACTATATATACAAAAACTTTAACCCCTCTTGACCACAGTGCCCCAATCGGCACGGAGCTACGCCTGCTACCACAGACTAGGCGGCACAGGAGATCCCCATAAAACAGCCCCTGCATATGTCATGGTTATATTTGTAACCCAAGTGTTACAAAAGAAAACAGTGAATGCTGTGTAATATAAAATAATAAATACATTTAAGAGAATAAGAACAGGTTTCATCTTCTTTTTCTTTCCGCTTTGTCCCTTTTTTCAGGGGTTGTCACAGCGAATCATTGATTGCCATATTTCCCTGTTCTGTGCATCTTCTACTCTGGCTCCAACTATCTGCAAGTCCTCCCTGACTGCATCCATATATCTCCTCTTTGGCCTTCCCCCTTGTCTTCTGGTAGCTCCATCTCTAACATTCCTCTACCAATATATCCACTGTCCCTCCTCTGCACATGTCCAAACCATCTCAATCTGGCTTCTCTAGCCTTTTCTCCAAACCTTCCTGTCTGTGTTGTCCCTCTAATGACCTCATTCCTGATCCTGTCCATTCTTGTCACTCCTAAAGAGAATCTTAGCATCTTTAACTCTGTCACCTCCAGCTCCGCCTCCTGTCTTCTGCCTATTGCTACTGTCTCTAAACCATACATCATGGCTGGTCTCACCACCGTCCTGTAAACCTTTCCCTTCACCTTAGCTGACACTCTTCTGTCACAGATCACTCCTGACACTTTTCTCCAGCTGTTCCATCCTGCCTGTACTCTATTCTTCACCTCTCTTCCACAGTCTCCGCTGCTCTGAACAGTTGATCCTAAGTACCTAAACTCCTGCACCTTCACCACCTCTGCTCCTTGTAGCCTCACTATTTCACTGTTCTGCCTTTCGTTTACACACATGTACTCTGTCTTGCTGCGACTGACCTTCATTCCTCTTCTTTCTAGTGCAAACCTCCACCTCTCTAGGTTCTCTTCTAGCTGCTGCCTACTCTCACTACAGATCACAATGTCATCTGCAAACATCATAGTCCATGGGGACTCCTGTCTGACCTCATCTGTCAATCTGTCCATCACCACAGCAAACAAGAAGGGGCTCAGGGCCGATCCTTGATGTAGTCCCACCTCCACTTTGAAGTCTTCTGTCCTCCCAACAGCGCACCTCACTACTGTTGTACTATTCTCATACATGTCCTGCACCAAACTAACATACTTCTCTGCCACTCCTGACTTCCTCATACAAAACCACAATTCCTCCCTTGGCACTTTGTCATATGCCTTTTCTAGATCTACAAATACACAATGCAGCTCCTTCTGACCTTCCCTGTACTTCTCCATCAACATCCTCAAGGCAAATATTGCATCTGTGGTACTCTTCCTAGGCATGAAACCATACTGTTGTTCACAAATCTCCACTTCCTGCCTCAACCTAGCTTCAACTACTCTTTCCTAAATCTTCATTGTATGGCTCATCAACTTTATCCCTCTGTAGTTGTTACAACTCTGTGCATCACCCTTCTTATGAATTGGCACCAGAACACTTTTTCTCCACTCATCAGGCATCTTGCCAGTCTCTAAAATTCTGTTAAACAAACCAGTCAGGAAATTTACTGCCACTTCTCCTAAACACTTCCATACTTCCACTGGTATGTCATCAGGACCAACTGACTTTCCACTCTTCATCCTCTTCAGGGCTTTTCTAACTTCATCCTTTCTAACCTGATCTACCTTCTTCCTACTAGTCTCTGGCTCCTCGTTTCTACTTTCCCTTTCATTTTCCTCATTTAACAACTCCTCAAAGTATTCCTTCCATCTTCTCAGCACACTTTCCTCACTTGTGATCACATTCCCCTCTCTGTCCTTAATCAACCTCACCTGCTGCACATCCTTCCCAGCTTGATTTCTCTGTCTCGCCAATCTATACAACTCCTTTTCTCCTTCCTTTGTTTCCAAACTCTCATACAACTCCTCATATGCCTTTTGTTTGGCCTTGGCCACTTCCCTCTTCACCTCCCTTGTCCTCTCTTTGTACTCCAGTCTGTTCTCTTCTGTTCTGTCACTGTCCCATCTCTTCTTCGCTAATCTCTTTCTCTGCACACTCTCCTGGATCTCCTCATTCCACCACCAGGTCTCTTTGTCCTCCTTTCTCTGCCCAGAGGACATACCTAGCACCTTCCTACCTGTCTCCCTCATCACTGCAGCTGTAGTCTCCCAATCATCTGGGAATATCTCAACACTACCCAGAACTGCCCTTACTTCCTTCCTGAAGTCTTCACAACATGTCTCTTTCCTTAGTTTCCACCACTTGATCTTCTGCTCTGTCTTCACTCTCTTCCTTTTTGTCACCTCCATCGTCATTTTACACACTACCATCCGATGTTGTTTGGCTACACTCTCACCTGCCACCACCTTACAGTCTCTAATCTCCCTCAGATTACATCTTCTACATAGAATATAATCTATCTGTGTGTCCCCCTATTCACTCTGCGCACAGACGACTGCTCAGCACTACATCCGAACTGT